ACACACACACACACACACACACACACACACACACATACCCCAACCCACAAAGCTAGACTTTTTTTTTTTTTTCTTTTAAAGACAGGTTTTGAACTCCCTATGTAGGCCAGGCTGGCTTCCAACTCACGGTGATCCTCTTGCCTCAGCCTCTCCAGTGCTGAGATTATAAGCATGTGCCACCATGCTCAGCTATGGAATATTTTTACCCTTTTTTTTTTTTTTTTTTTTTTTTGGCGGAACCAGGGATTGAACTCAGACCCTCGCGCTTGCCAGGGAAGTGCTTATTCCACCAAGCCATCTCCCCAGCCCCAGCTATGGAATATTTTTAAAGGCTGACAATACCAAGAGCTAGTGAGGATTCAGAGCAACAAAACATATATTGCTAATGGGAAGGCAATTTGCTACAAGCACTTTGGGAAAGTATAGTTTTGGCAGCTTCTTTAAAAAGTTAAGCATAAGCTTACCAGTGACCCAGCAATGCCATTTAGCTACTGTATTCAACCAAAAAAAACTATGAAGTCAACTTTTTAAAATAGCTTGTAATCAGCGGATTAAAGCGCCTGCAAGCAGGCACAGGGGCCGGGGGTTCGATCCCTGGGTCTGCCGTGCCAGCCCCGCCCCTGGGGCACACTGAGAGGGCAATTGAGACTGGGTATGATAGCTTGCGCCTGTAATCCCAGCTCTCCTGGGGGGCTGTAAATAGGCGATCATTATGAGTCTGATCTAGTGGTGAGACCCTGAACACCCTGTAGATCCTTCCCTAAAATACAAAATAAAATAGCCTGTAGTTAAGTTAGCCAGTAGTTATAGCTGCTTCATTCATAGGTACCCAAAAGGGGAACAGTCAAATGCCTACTTCAGTGAGTAAATAAACAGTATTACATCCCTATAACTGAGTGCTGCTTGGGAATAAAAAGGGGGACTGTTGATACAGGTAGTAACACAGATGAATCTCTGTCTTATTATGTACCAAAAAATGCCATACTTAGGCAGGTGTACTGGCACATGTCTGTGGAGGCAGGGATGTTCCAAGTTTGGGCCTATCTTGGCCAACTTAGCCATTCACAGGCTGTCTCAAAATAAAAAAGGTGGCTGGACATAGTAGCACATGCCTATAATTCCAGCACTTGGGAGGCTGAGGCAGGAGGATCGTTTGCTGAGTTTAAGATTAGTCTAGGCTACATAGTTCAAGGCCTGTCTGGACTATATAGTGAGATGTGTCTCAAAAATAAATGAATTAACAAATTAATAATTAATAAAGTATTAAATGTATTAATTGGTTGATTTATTATAAATTAGGTGTATAATAAATTATTAATAATTAATAAATTAAAGTGGGCTGTTGATACAGCTCAGTGTGAAGCCCTGAGTTCAATCACCAGTGCTAGAAAAAGGTCAGCTTCAAATGACTCCACACTGTGTGAGTCTGTGACAAATGAGGCCACAGGTACCGAAACTAGCCAGGCATTTCCGTGGTGCACATGACTCACCATAGAGGGCACAAAGGAATTCTGGGTGCTGATGAGAATGTTCTATACCTTGACTGGTGAGAGCTACACAGCTGTATGTCTTTGTGAAAACCCACAGAACAATATATACACTAAAAAGAGTAACCTTTATTTTACATCAATTATACCTCAAATCTACCTATTAAAAATCCTATCAGAGTCAGGTGTGGTAGAGCACACCTGTAAATCCAGTATGCTGGAGACTGAGGCAGGAGGATCATAAGTTCAAGCCAAGTCTGGGTTACTGGGCAGGATCCTGGATTCAATATCCAGTACTCCCTCCCCAAAAAATCCTATCAGTAATTTTACAGTTCTTGAACATGGAGCTGTGTGGTAGCTGCAGCAGGTGATGCTTTGCTGCTTTCTGAAGTCTCCTCTGCTGAGCAGCAGATCCCCTGGAACTGAAACACAAACCAACCTGATGGCGAAGGTAAGGCTTCAACCTGCCCAGTGAGCCTGAGGCTAAGAATTCTAGATCACAAATCTGCGTTAGACAAGAAAGAGGAAATAGGAGATCACTATGTAGGACTGATGCAAGTCAGACGGCTCAGTCCTCATACCTCCATCCACACATTGCCCAGGTCTGAGGTGTTCACATGTTCACCCTGGACACAGTAACCTCTGTACAGACAACTTCTCCAGAATGAATCCCCTCATGTTTACTTTCAAATTTAATGACTTAACTAGTCACCCAGTTTATTTTGTTTTGCTAGTATTTAGGCCTTTTTATTTAACTTTTATTATGATACCCTATCCAACATAAAATGAACAACTGCTAAATCATTTATCAAATGTTTTCTTTTCTTTTTTTTTAAATTTATTTATTTATTTATTGTGTGTGTGTGGCCAGCTCAGCCCACCAGGGGGTGGGCTGGCTGGCATGTGGTGCTGGGGATTGAACCGTGGTCGCTGTCCTTTTGCTTAGCTTAGCTTGTTCTAAGTAGGTGCTTTAGACCACTGAGCCATCTCACCAGCCCTCAAATGTTTTCTTGAAAACCTTTTTTGTATGAATGAAGGGCCTTTTGGAGCTACCAATTAAGGGTATTCATCTCCAATATGAGTTACCTGATATTAAGTAAGGGCTGAACCCCCACTGATAGCTTTTCCACATTCCTGACACTTACAGGGTTTCTCATTAGCATAGATTTCCTAATATTCAATGGGTTAGAAATTCTCACCCATGTGAATTCTCCAGTGCAGAAAGAGGGCTGAGCCTTGGCTGTAGGCTCTGCTCCATCTCTTTCCAGGGGAGATGAGGCTGGAGCCAGTAATAAAGGCTGGGCCAAATCTGCTTGTATGAAGGTTCTCCCTGTGTGAACCCGCTGGTGCTGAGAGAGGGCTGACCTTCGACTGAAGGCTTTGCCACAGGCACCACATGTGTAGGGCTTCTCTCCAGTATGGACACGCTGGTGGAGGGTGAGCTGGGAGCTCTGACTGAAGGCTTTGCCACATGTGGTACACTCATAGGGCTTCTCGCCAGTATGTACTCTGCGATGCTGCACAAGGGTACAGCTCCGGCTGAAGGCTTTGCCACATTCACTGCATGTGTAGGGTTTCTCTCCAGTGTGGATCCTTGTGTGTTCTGTAAGATGAGAGTTAAAGCCAAAGGCTCTACCACATTCCTTACACACATAGGGCTTCTCCCCAGTGTGAACCCTGTGATGGAGGAAAAGACTTGAGCTCTGGCTGAAGACTTTCCCACATTGGCTGCACCCAAAGGGCTTCTCTCCTGTGTGGATCCTTTGGTGCTGGATAAGGCTGGAGCTTCGGCTGAAGGACTTTCCACACTGACTGCATCCATAGGGCTTCTCTCCTGTGTGGATCCTCTGGTGCTGAGTTAACTGGGGGCTCTGGCTGAAGGCTTTTCCACATTCCTTACATTTATATGGTTTTTCTCCTGTGTGGATTATACGATGTTGAATAAGACTTGAACTTCGACTGAAGGCCTTCCCACATTCATTACACCCAAAGGGTTTTTCTCCAGTGTGAATTCTTTGATGTAAAACAAGGTAGGAATTGAGCCCAAACATTTTTCCACATTCACCGCATTTAAATGGTTTATTCCCAGTATGAACTCGACGGTGCAGGGTAAGGCTTGAGCTCTGTGTAAAGGCTCGCCCGCATGGACCACACTCAAAAGGCTTTTCCCCAGTATGACTTCTCTGATGACGGCGTAGATCTGAGTTATATTTGAATGTTTTGTTGCATATATCACATTTAAAGACTCTCTCTCTTATTTTATTTCTTTTAAGTCCAACAACATTTTGATTCAGATTGAAGTATCTATCAAGTGCAGCACACTCCTGGGTTCTCTCTCCTGGAGGTTGTTCCCTACACATGACAGATTTCTCCCTAAAAACTGTCTTGAGAAGTTGAGAGGGTTTCTTCAAACTCAGTCCAGCAGTCTTTCTCTGGTTCTCTTCTTCCTTTCCTTCATGGTCCCAAGTTTCCTGGGACTCAGGTGCCTGTGAGTTAGCTCTTGAGAATTTTGTTGATAAAAATTCTGGGGCTTTTACTTCTTCTGAACATTTCTGGTCTAGAATGGATAGTTCCTTCTCAGCCCCAATCTCAGCATCTGTCACACAAAAAATATAAATGAGTTACTAAAGGAAATCACCCATTGGGGCCGGGGAGGTGGCTCAGTGGAATAAGCGCTTCCCTGGAAATCACCCATCAACAATAGTTTCCACAATGTATTCTGCACTTGTATAAACTATTTTGCAAGAGACAAATACTCAGAATTCAGAAATATCAGAAGTAAGAACTGCCAATTTGTAGGATGAAAGCATTCACATTCATTAGTTATCAACAAAGGAGATTCAAACAAATGATGACTTTTCAACTATTAAATAAGCAAATTAATCCAGTCAACAATATTGAGAGAAAAAAAGTATAAAATATATCATCTACATATGAGTTAAAAAAAAAAAACAATATTGAGAAGCCATGCATGTTCTATGTAAGGAAGACAACAGGAAGACAAACACAGTCTCTGGTCTCAAGAAACTTATGTTTTATTTAGTAAGACAGATAAGCAAGTAAATCCTGTGTACTAATGGTTAATCCCAGAGCTTTGTACATACTAGACAAACACTTCACTGCTGAGCTACATTTCCAGCTCTTTTAATCTTATTTTGAGACAGGTATCTTGCTATGTTACCTAGGCTGAGCACTACAGGTATATACCACACCTGACTGACCTTTGATTACACATCAGTCTTATGTCTGCCACTTGTTTTTTTGTTTGTTTGTTGGTTGGTTGGTTGGTTGGATGGTTGCTTTGTTTGTTTTTTGTGGTACTGGGGATCGAACTCAGGACCTTGCACTTGCTAGACACGTATTTATCCCACTGAGCTATCTACCCAGCCTATGTCAGCTATTTGTTACCTCATCCATTCCAGTGGGAAATCTCATTTCTTCTTGGGATTGTCTGAATACGTAGATTGTACTGGAGCCCATGAGTCATTTGTTTTCAGAGTAATTCCATATCATACAGCTTTTCTTTTTCTTTCTTTATTTTCCTTTTTTTTTTCTTTTGAGACAGGATCTCACTATGCAGTTCAGGGTGGTCTTGAACTGGGACTCAGTGATCCTCCAGTCTCAGCCTCCTCAACATTGGGATTACAGGCATGTGCCACCATGCCTGGTTTCAGTGGCCAGCACAGCATGTGGTACCAGGGATTGAATCCAGCAGGGTGGCCTTGAACTCATTATACAGAATATACTGGCCTTGAACATGTGACAATCCTCCTGCCTCATCCTTCTGGGTGCTGGGATTGCAGGCATGTACAACCATGCCTGGATCATACAGCTTTACTTTAAAAAAAAAAATCTTTACTTGCAACCTCATATCATGGCACATGCCAGCTAGTCAAGAACCTAAGGCAGGGGCCAGGGAGATGGCTCAGTGGAATAAGTGCTTCCCTGGCAAGCTCAAGGGCCTGAGTTCAATCCCCGCTTCCGCCAAAAAAAAAAAAAAATTTTTTTTTGGAGGCCTGCCCCTTAGCTCCATTCTTTAAGTGGCTGCTTCAACAAAGCAGTCAGGCTCAGGTTGCTGTGGTTCGATCCCCACAACACAAGCCCGCCAGTCATGCTTTGAAGAACCTAAGGCAGAAAGACTGTGAATATACCAGCCTAGCCTGGGAAACTTATGAGACATTGACTCAAAATAAATTAATAATAATAATAATAATAATAATAGCAGCAACAGCAGCAGCAGCAGCAGCAGGAGCAGCAACAACAGTGAAAAGGGCTGAGGATGTAGCTCAATGGTAGAAAGCCATAGATTTGCCATGTCATAGGGCATGTAGGACCCCTCCTTGGGCGAGGTCTCCTTCTCCAAGCTGGGCTCCTTTGGGGCTGTCATGCAGGTTGCACTCATCTTTTACCTGACGGTGTCCTCAGTCATGGGCTTCTAAAGCTCTCCACTCTTCAGGAGACTGCTGCCCAGATGGCATGACACATACAACTGGGAAATGTATCTATTTCCTTGTCCTAAGCTCAACACTTCCTGTCTTCTCTCAAACTCTGGGACTCATTCGCTATGACCTGCAGTGTGCCTTCGGACACTTCGACTGGTTGGGCAGTTTCTGTATCGTGTAAGAGTTAGCACCAGTGACCTCCATCTGGGGGAGGAAGGAGAAACCTGGATGCTGCCACCTGCTGCCCAGGCTTAGAGGGAAACCCCAGGGTAGTTGGGGCTTCACCTCAGAACAATGAATCTGAGGATGGGTGGCAGAAGGGAACTGAGCCATCTTTACTGTTGCATAATCTGAGTCAGAGTTTGGGACCAGGACTCTATATTCCAGACTAACTGTGGGCTCAGCACAGAGTAGGGCTGGGTGACTGGGTCTGGCTCTTGATCCCAAATCCATCTACACATCAAGTTGCCTCACTGCTGTTCCAGCCCTGCCCATAGCCATGTTTACATGATTTTTTTTTTTTTTTTTTT